TAATGCCTAATACTACTAAGGTAAGATTAACTTGGCTATGGAAGTACAATTATGGAAGGTAAGTGACAACTTAAAGAATTATACAAATACGGAAGTGAGGAGACACAAGAAAAATTAATCGTTACAATAGTTATCGCATTATCGTATTGCTGTATTGATTTAAAAGTCAGATCGTCACACGTATTTGAGTGTCAAAAAAAAGTTTGATTTTGCCGAGCACTATTGATGAGTTTTGTAAAACTAAATAGCGCTGTTAAGAAAGTTTTTCAGATGATATCCTTTTCGATACATTATCGAATTCAATTCGGTCTCAATATCTAATGCTTAAAATGATTTTTATTTTGTATTTTCAAAAAGCATTTTTAAGCCCTAATGTACTTGATAAATTTTTTTCTCTACGTAAATGGATGATGTCTTCAGGCACTTCTCCTCTCTCGAAAAGAAAAGTAAAAAAAATACTGTTGAACCTCCCAAAATCGATCCTTCCAAAATCGATAACCTGTCAAATCTGATAAAAAATTAGTCTACCAAGTATGTTTCCATTATATAAATCTAATAGTTCATAATGTTTCAAAGCTGATAACCTTTCAATACCGATACAAATTCTGCCCACCATGCGTACCGGTTTTGGGAGGTTCAACAGTAGTTTATAATGTTTTCAAAGCTGATAACCTTTTAATACTGATACAAAATCTGCCCACCATGCGTACCGGTTTTGGGAGGTTCAACAGTATATGGTCTGAATATTATAAATATAATTTTTATACGTAGTGAACTCAGTGGCATGCAAATTTGTTTTTGGCATGCCTTTGCCACTATGCCAGACACCCTACACGTATGTTTAATTTTTAACTTGTTTTTTCTGTATATACTGTATAATAAACAAAAGGGTTATTTCTTTTTACTAATATCAAAATAATCTTTATATAATGTCTTTTTTAGCATAGCAAAGGTCTCTGGATAAAAATAAACAAACAAAATAATTTATCTTTAAATGCATGCGCCATTGGCCTTTATAAGGTATTTTGTTGGGATACACTATGATGCACCTATTTAGGCCTGCTAAAATTTGAATAAAAATTTTGGTTTCCCCCTTATAATACTATAAGTTATCTTGTGGGGATTGTTTTTGAAAAATTAGATACAATACAGCAATATCTGAACAATCAGATGTATTTTAAATTGCTTATTGAATGATATTCCCACTTACCTGAATAAAAATTTGGCACAAGAGTAGACAAGCAAACAACTCAATGATGACAAGAAAAAATCTCAAGTACAAGTAAACAATCAATAATAATAATCAAGAACAGAAGTAGAATAAAGAAATTGGTGATTGCATAAAATATTCAACTTAGAACTGATTCGTATAAATGGATTTCATTTGATAAACTAGATAATATTAAAGATGTGCATTTTATAACTTGGTTGGACAGTATACAGTACGAAAAAATTAGGAAAAAACGTTGCATTCAAGATCTTGTTGGGACATAATTTTATGATGAATTTGTGGGCATTCTACTTGTTAAATAAATTTTAAATAAACGTTTGATAATAAACTCTCAATTATCGGATATCTGTGATTACATCATCTTTAAAGACCTTTATTCGTTTTAAAGATCTTAATATTATTTGTATTAAAATTTTTGTAATAATAATTTTTTACGTCGCTGTTAGAGTTAAAAGTGGATGAATTTTTTGCAACTTTCATTTTCTTCATAAAAGTGAAACCATTACATATTTTAAGATCTGCTAATAAATTTTGCGTAAAAACTTGGATGTTTAAAATAGTAAAAAATTTATCAAAATTATATTAAATTTTAATCTACATTCTACGTATTTGAAATTTTCTAAAACCTTATCTCTAGTTACAGTAAACAAGAAAAATCAAGAGATTTTTCATTAAAAAAAAAAGAAAAAGCGATGATAGTGGGAATATTTACAAATGCTACATCAATTTTGAAGTGATAATTTGAGAAATGACGCAAACAATGCTTTGGGAAATACAGTATCATGAAAGTTAGGCATAATAATTTTTTATATAATGTGTATTTGAAGTAATTAAATCATCTTAGAACAGTACTAGCGAACTGAATCATGATGGTATAGTTTTTTACAGTCATATGCTGTATACTAGCATTAAGAACAGCCCGAACAGCCTTTAGTTAAAGTGAATAGCCTTCTAATTTCAAAATTAGGTCGTAAATATATTTCATTTCTGACTAATTGTGTATCATGGAAAATGTTATAACAAAGATATTATATATTACTTGAGGCTTACACATCGACCTTTCATTTTTGATGCGTTATACCTTCGTGTAAGCCGTCTTACTACGGCTTGTCTTACACGTGCTTAGGTCTCAGTCCCTATTAGTTCAGCACGAATTATTTAAATATTTCTATTTAAGGCACTGGTTGATAGAATCAAGTGAAGTCGGATTTTTATTGTTATTTTTATAAAGGAATCCGTGCGAGAATAATAGATCGTCATTAGTAATAACGATAAAGGTTAGATCGAGTGCTTATTTTTAAAAAACAAAATAAAAATGTTTTAATTAAAACGATTAAAACTTACTTGATTTATATTGACATGAAAGGATGACATTAAGTCAGATTGTTTCTTCATTTCATTTCATTTCATAATTCTGATCCACAATTTATTCTACTACTAAAAAATATATTATCGATAATCACGAGCACCATTAACATCCAACGTATTATCATCATCATTATTCGAACTTCTATCGTTATCTGACGTCACCCCTTTAGTCCAAAAAGAATTCGGATCGATGCATCTTGACATTATAAATAAATAAAGAGCAATAAATCCTTTGGTAAAATACATGGTTTGAGAATAGAGAAGTATGATTCCAATCATATCACTAAATAATATAGTGACAAAGTTTAATTTAAATAGGTATTTATTATCAGGAGAAGGATTATAATGTTGATGATGATGATGATGTGGTAACTTGATTATTATCAACTCAAGCAGCAAGAAGAGACCAAGGTATATCGAAATAACTATGTAAAATATGAAAACATTTGAATGAAATAAAGATCCTGCTTTGATGAGCAAATAAATAGGAAATATTATTATATTAATAAATTCAACTATATATATGATAAATTTTGATAAAGAACTCATATTTTTTGATTCCTTAAATGTGTCAAATATTATTAATAAAATGCAAATAAAAAGTAAGGTCGTGAAAAAAGTGTTTATAACTGTGAAAGGTAAATTGAATCGAGGGCCATTACAAAAAGCCATGAAAATAGGAAAAAATACTGTTCCGACATTAAGTGCTATAATATCCAATGTTACAATTATATATACATAAGGCTTTTTTACGTATTTGTTTAATTGGAATATGGCGAATAAAACGAGCATTATTAATATGAAAGCTAGAAAGTCCAAAATATCTGGATATGGTTCGTATGTCGTATTTGTGGTTATATCTTGTGCATTTATTAAATTTAACCATGGTACGGTACATAATGTTGAAAATATGATTATTAATTTTTGAAAGAAATAATGTCTCTTCATTAATATAGTAAGAGTTGATAAATTTTTTTAAAAATTAAAATTTTAAGAGATGTTTCAGAACATAGCATATTCGTGCATTATTATAATAAATATTTTCATATGTTGTACCAGCCGATTTGCTTGATTGTTTATAGAAGATCCAAGATTGTCTTTAGCACGTTGTTACTTATTTTAGAAAATAATTCAAAGAAATTATTCTTTATTTAAACAATTCAATATAGTATATATAATAATAGGAATGAGTCACTCCATTTTTGTTTCAAATGCGAGGCTGCATGTATGAAGTTTTCATAAATTAAAGTTAAAGCTTACTAATAAATTTATAAATCGTGTATTTATTTCTGATGGATTTTTTTATATATATATATATTAAGATACTCGTATCTTATATAGGACTCTGAATACTATATACGTACGTGCGTACTTATGCACATATGAGAACGACACCAAAATTCGGGTTGTCACTGTACCAGCTGCCGCAGCATGTACCAGTAATACGGATAATAGCACAAATTTGTTAAAAAAAGTATTAAAGGAAACGAACGATCAGATCACTTCATTCGTGTTTGCTGCAGCAGCTGAGGCAGTGACGTTGATCATCGAGAGCTGCCCTGGTGTCGTCCACGTACGTACGTATGAGAGGCATTGTGCATATCAGATATTGAATTTTATATTGCCCTTAAAATTGAACTCAACAAGAATAAAAACAGTATTAGTAGCCGATACTAAGTTCATGTCCTATAACTGTTCAAGCCCAAAGTTTGACCTATTGATCGAACGCTTGTTCTGTTAATTTCCTCAAGAAAATGTTTTAACATCATCCAATTTCAATTTACAACTCTTGTACTTAAAAACTTACGATTTACCTAACTTGTTTGTACGCAGATCTGTGAAGTGTTCTTTCTGTGTAAAGAATCAGCCCTTGTCCAGTTTACTTATGTTTCAGGTATGTTAAGAATCTAAAATGAGACCACATCCTCGCGGTTTTCAACCTTATCTTACGCTTGATTCTTCTCACCATACCTTGACTTTCAAATATTGGTAAAAGGATCTGTTTATAATTCTTTGTAAGCTTCCTATAACATTCATTAATCAGATTCCAGATCTTTTCAACAATTCTTACCATTTTTTTTTTTTGGTTTGTTTTTTTTTTTATTTTAATTTAAAGCCTTCATTCTTCCGATCGATCTATTTTTATCACCTTTTAAACACATACCTCTTACATAACCTAAATATTATTTTTGTATCATTGATACCTTATTTTATTACAAGTCATAAAAATTCTTGTATCAGGATTAAGTGAGATCCTTTCACACGTAGTCTCTTTCTTTTCAATGGAATGAGAGCACAAACAAAAAATCTTCCAAGCTTATCCCGATATTGTGCTTAATTTCTGGTAACTTCTCGCTTGTGATCATGTATTTGAAGATGCAAATTCTTAACTAGTTCCATTCTAGTCACTAGGTTGAATTGATACAGATTGCTGAAGATCCTTACTCATTCGGAATTTCATACAAATCTTGTTCTCTCCAATCTGTAAGCTTTGGTCAAACCCTGCATGCCTACATGATGTATTACGCATATTGGAAGGAGAATGTATGGTATTTTTGTAGTCTAAGTTGCTCACGCATCTTTCCCTTATGAATTTTTCGCGTTTTTACAATTCTCTTCATGTATCATGTCATGACAATTGATTATAAAATCCATCTTACAATACCCGTCAATTAATAAAACACAATATTCATTAGTTTAAATAACAATAAATATTGTCATAGATAATTTTAGTAAATAAACAAATGTTTATATTGAGTATATAGTAAACTATATACCGCATGAAAGATAACGTAAGGTAACACTAACAAAATATTTGTAACACCAATAGTAGACAATATAAACAATATACCGTATAAGATGATATCAATATGCACATGTGTATACATAAAATTATTTTTTTTGTTAAAAAAAAAAAATAAACATTTTCAACTTTGCTATTTATACGGAATACACTACGTATTTAATGTATTTTATAGAGATTTAATAATCTTTGCTAATAAATTAATAAATTCATTGTCGAAGGACATTACGGAGAGTCATAGAGTGTGTATGTCCGCAAATTAAGGGATTTGCTCCGAAAATACCCATTGTCGGACTGATCCGTGATAAGTCCTTCGGACCTTAAATGGCTTCCATTTACCTAGT